TGAGAGAATTACATCCATTTAGAATGCACGAAGGCTAGAACTTGAGCTGCTTGTATTAGACGGTAAACAAGTGTAGAGGGTTGGAAATGTTTTGAACATGGCGAATGGTCTCGACAGCCTCGCCAATGAGACAATTCGAGACATAAAATGACTATTACAGAGGTAGAGTGGAATGAGAACGATGTAAAGTTCGTTCCTCTCACACTTGCGGGTCTTGACGCGTCGAGGTAGGTGGTAAGAATCAATCTCCCCCACCACCATGAAAGGGTCGATCAACTTTTCTGGTCGGCGATCTGAACAATCATGAATAAAAGTTCGAGGATAAAATTCGCAGTACAACCAGCTAAATCATGACCGGACTTGCGACACTGAGGCTTGTACGTCAACGTGAATTTCCTCTCGCCAATTCCCTGTTCCTCTAATGGCCAAAAGTATGCGTTTCACTGTCTAGAGTAAATCTTCGACTATGCTTATCGAGAATAATGCTCTTCTCTATCTAGAAACCTAGGATGAGTAACGAGACGGTCTGTGCATCTCTGTAAATGCACAAAGCCATGCTTATTGAATATCACTTGTGTATGATAGGCCAAGCAGGTGACTATTTGAAAGCGAAATACAATGTAGAGGACGGAGGTGCCATCGTTTAGGGCGCCCAAATCGCACTTGATTCGCTATTAGGACAGTCAGGCAGGGAATTCCACAGAAGCATTGCAACAATAAGAGATGACATTCCACGTAATTCATGTGTAGTCGTGGAGGCGGGGTTATAGGAACCGGCATCCAAGTCCCAACGAATGAACCGCCACAACAAGCCAGAGCTGTGGTACGTGCACTCCGGCCAATCCTAGCACTGATATGAATTTGTTTTACATGATGCTTGCAATAGAAGAGTGAGGTCGAGCTGTGATTTTGCCTCGAGAAGAAGGACTTTTGTCGACTTGGTCGGATCGAAGACCCGGTATCCTGGCATTACACGCGAAGGCGACTGTCTGATCCGCAGAGATCATACCTCCTCAGAAGATGCCCGATAATCGGTCATCTCGTATATTTGACAGCTTCTCAAATGGCTAAGAACTCTTTGACAACAGGCCTTCCCGTCTGCCGTGCTGCACTGTTGTAGTGGGCGCACAGCGCGCTAGCCACCAATACTCCATATTTTGAAACGCCAACACCACGGTGATACTCTCTTGTTCTTGTAGTACTTATTTCAGCCGACCTGCGTGCTCCTATTGATGAGTAGCGGCGTAGAAGGGCAACTATCCTCTAACCAGCCAGTTTGCTGAATTGCTCGGCTGAGAATGCGAAGGGCTCTCGACATGCGGCAACCGGTGACATATACCCATGTGGTAATAGGTGCCGTTTATGGTAACCTTAACGGTACGATCTCTTTTCAGAATACCAAAGAACTGCCTATGCGGAGCCTGTGCTCGCCAGTCGCCGCAGGGGCCGCCACTAGCTGGGCTTATTATTTAGCGGACCGGTAATGAAATCGTCCACTCTAACCCATTTCTCTTCCCGATGCTGCTTTTCTTCTTTCTTTACCACTCCACCCTCGTTAACGCCCTTTCTATCGGTGACATGATGGGCAACAGTCTATCATCACCTACTTGTAACGATTTGAATCATTGTAGAAGATTCACCGACATACTTTGGAGCTGCCTCACCACGCTCTTTGCTTGTACATGGCTGAGCATGCATCCAAACGTCCCCTTTCCCTACGATACGCGGAACGTGCCATTTAGGATGCTTTACTCCTCATGGAGCTTTCTCAGATACAGACTGCCATTCTTCGTCATGTCGCTGATCGTACCAGAATGGATCCTCTCACTGGCCGTTCAACAGTGGCTGGCCACGCGCAAGATCATGAAAGAAGGAGGTATGTCATTCCTAGTTTAGAAGTGAGTTTCGGGGCTAAATTGAATCCTTAGGTGAGGGTTGGACGAGAACCCATGCGTTCTTTGTCATAATGGGAGGCTTCTACGCCTATAGGGTTCAGCAGGGGCAATTCGATGAACCATGTTACCCTTTGAGCCCAGAAACAATGATCGAGCTCGTCCGAATGAAACATATTCAGCTACCGACGGATGAAGAAATTGAAGATCGGAACAAGAGCAATTGGCTGGCCAAGATAATCGTGCTGATCCAAACCGGCTGGTTCGTCACCCAATGCGTCGCTCGAGGAGCAAATGATATGCCCTTGACTGAGCTGGAAATCGTCACGCTCGCTTATACGATTGTAAACTTTGGAACCTCTTTGGCATGGTGGAGCAAGCCTCGCAATGTCAGCTGGCCAATACCCATCCTGATGCCAGGAGCAACTCCACTGCAGCAGGGCGACAAGAAGAATGACGTCGAGGGCATGTATAACAAGGACTGGGAGAAAGCAGCTCGATGGCTCCTTCCCGGCTTTGATGCCGACATTGACGTCGAGAGCCGGAAGGCTGTCCCAACATTTTATTCTGGCAAAACCTCCAAGACAACAGGGAACTGGGCATTGTCTAATTTGGCAATCTTGATCGCCGGAATCGCTTTCGGTGGCATACACTGCCTTGCATGGTCATATCCATTTCCATCTCGCACCGAGCAAATCCTCTGGCGTTACTCAGCAATCGTGATGATCATAGTACCTATAGTACTCTGCTTGAGTACCGTAGCGGTACTCGTCAAGAGGAATTACGAGAACCAAGGCGACATGCTTTCGTCCGGCTGCGCCGATGCGATTGCTCGCCCTCTTTTTTATATCAGCCTCTTCCCTGGTGCATTCATGTACGTGTCGGCTAGAGTCATAACTTTGTTTTTGGCGTTCAAGACACTTGATGCTCTGCCGGATGCAGCATTCAGGACCGTCCCTTTCACAAAGCTTATCCCTCACGTGTAGAGGAACCTCACTCCACTCTACCATTTGACCTTTATTTTACAGGCGTTGACTCTGAGTGTGATACTCTCTTTCCGTTACAATTTCTTTCGATCCCATTCGTATAAGTTTTATCCTTTGTACCGTTGATTTATTCAGCTAGAGGTAGTACCTTGAGTAGCGTTCAGTGCTATGCACATTTTGGAGATTTTGCCGAGAAACAATGATCGAGCTCGTCCGAATGAAACATATTCAGCT